AACCTATAGTTAAACATACACATGTACTCATCTTTATACACACATACATATATACAATACACGCCTGTATGAACATATACTTACATGTACTCACCTATATATAACACTCGTACGTACTCGCCTGTAACCAGCTGGCACGAACCTAACACCACAGCTGGTTGATAAAGACTTTTACAAGATTCTCCAAGATAATGACCATCTTAATCATAATAAAGACGGTCGTCACGCTCCGTCTTGAGATTAAGAAGATCCCTTTGAAGATGAAGGATTAGTTTCGTGTCATGGATTAATTTCCGTTGTTTGTATACATTTATACGATAATTAGATCTAATGGGGGATTTCTTTCTTTCTGGTCTTACATTATGGAAGTAATGATAAGGTTTCTAAAAATATATGTATTAATGAGAGTCGCAGATATCGTCAATTTCTGAACGCATTATGGAGATTGTAACTTGATCTGTGGTTTTTGTTAAACGATATTTTGTGAATGGATATTGTTTTTATATATTTTTAAACCGATACTGGGAAGAAATCGATGACAGGCAGGTAACTACATATGACGACAAGCATTAGTCGGGTCTGGATGGCACGTGAGAAATATACATTTACATGTGGAAAAACAGACACTAGCTAGAAAATATAGATTTTAAAAAAAAAGTAGGGAGATGCAACAGTTGAAGACGGGGTTACAAGTGGGCGGGGTCCAATATTGGAAGTAGGCACGGGGATCATGAAGCGGACCGGAGATTTAGCACTGGAGTTGTGCCCCTCGCCATCCCCTACGTGTAACCCACCTCTCCAACTGCTGCATCTCTCCACTTCCTCCACTGGTTCCAGTATGTCTCTATCCACTCTGTTCTACACTAACAACCTGCTGCTCGGGCGAAACATCTCTCCAAAATACCCAGGTGTTGCACACGTGTTTTAAGTCATCAACGAGTCAGTGTTATACCTCGGATCAAATGATACATAAACATATACATACATGAGTCATGGGAATATGTATACTGGTCATGATCATGAGCCAGGTAACACAAGACGGTTACATAACTACGTACTTCCTTGATCTTAACTAATGGTATTGTAAATTATAGAGGAGGAAATTATAGCCGCCGGGGGATAGGGGGGCGTGAAATACTAGAGGGAAGACTTAATAAACAAGGAAGGTCACACTTGGCTGTACTGTGTCTACCTTCACCAGAAAAGATATATTCTGAGGCACCCAACACCCCGGACATAAATATTAACCATGGGCATAAACATTGTCCATAACTAATGTTTGTCTATGGCTAATGTCTATGTTCATGGGTATAGTCATTAGCCATGAACGTGAACATTAAACATATTAACCGTGGATTTAATAGCCATGAACATTAAAACCTCAGCCAAAGACATAAATTTTAGCCATAGACAAAGTTTAGCCATAAATATAGCGCTTAGTTATGATTATAATAATAACAGCCATAGATATAAACTTGAGCCTTGCACATACGTTAGCCATGGAGGTGAATATTAACCATGGTCATAATATATACCACTCTGTACATAACCATCTCACATATTGCTCACAACAGGATCGGGAAGCAATGAAACCATATATCTCAAATTTAACAGAAGTTGTACATGCGACAAATACATTTTTTTTTACACAGGGTTTGACAAGGTTAAGGATCCCTAGTTTTATTGACAGCTATATTACAGGTTAAGGATTCCTAACTTTATTGACAAGCTAAGAGCTGTTACCTACATCAGCTCATTTGAAAGCATTTTTATTGTTATGAGACATACACGTAGGGAACAGGATGAAGTTGGAGCCATCTGTGAGCCAGCATTTTCATTTGATCAACTGACGTTATCTCGTTGGCATCATTATGCTGTACGAATGTGTTCCATACTCGAGTCATCCTGGGTATAAATGATCTCATATGGAGTGATGTTCTGGAGAAGGGTACAGCCAGAGTGAAGTTGCTGCTTTCTGCCCGTCTTGTGGCATAAAAGCTTGTTTCACGCTGTCCTCGAAGTGGATCCAAGTGTGGTACTTTGACAATATTGGCCTTGTACATAACAGTAAGGCCACCCACATCCCTCCTATGTTGAAGGCTCTGCTGAAATGACAGATCTATCCAGGATGGGTCCAGGCGAGAGATGAGACGTCTTGCTCTGTTCTCCACTCTGTCAAGCAGTCGCAGATGAGGGGGGGGGGGAGGCAAACCAAGAAAGTGGAGCATACTCAAGGTGTGAGCGTACTTGTGCCTCGTACAGAATCTTGCAACCCCTACTGTCAAGCAGATGCGAGATACGGCGAAGTGCTGTAAGCTTCCTGGCTGCCATGTTTGCTAGATTTACAACATGGTTCTTCATGGTTAGTTTGGAGTCAAATTTCACCCCAAGGATATCAACTTCTTCTCCAGGTGCCAACACCCTCCCATTCATCCTTACTACTGCACCAGCATTACCATCATGGTGCCTAGAGACGATCATCATTTGCGTTTTCTCAGGTGCAAATGTTACTTGCCATCTATTTCCCCAAGCTGATATAGCTCTTAGCTCGTGATTGATGTAGCTTAGAGCAGCTGGCATTTCTTCTCTTGGATAAGTGAATGTCAGTGTACAGTCATCTGCATATGCATGTGATTCTGGGATGAGATGAAGAAGGTCGTTGAAGTAGACATTCCATAACAATGGTCCCAGCACGCTTCCTTGTGGAACACTTGCCCCAATAGGATGTCTTGCTGATTCCGTTCCATTGAGAACTACACTTGGAGATCTACCATGAAGGTAATCACTGAGGAGACATAGTGTAGAGCCTGCAATTCCCAGTGCTTGAAGTTTTGCTAAGAGGCCCTGGTGCCACACCCAGTCGAAAGCACCAGCAATGTCCAGTGCTACCACACAGCTGACTTTGGATTCATCCAGTGACTGGTGCCACTTAGTGGAGAGGTTTAACAACAAATCAGCAGCAGAGTAACCTTTCCTGAAGCCATATTGACGATCACAAAGTGGTGAGCGGTAGTCAAAAAACTGTCATTTGCCTTGAGATTATTGTCTCAAGGATCTTACCAGTGATTGACAGGAGTGACACTGGTCTGTAGTTGCTGATTTCTGCTCTGCTCTTCTTTTTGTGAACAGGGACTATATTTGCCTCTTTCCACAGAGAGGGCCATTTACACTGTACTAGGCAGTGCTGAAAGATGCGAGTTAGAGGTGCTGCTAGCTGGTCTGCACATCTTCTCAGCAATCTTGGGCTCAACTTGTCTGGGCCCACAGCCTTTTCTTGGTCAAGCGATTTAAGACGGAAATGCACCTCCTCCTGCCTTATTGTCACCACTGACAGTTTTGACACAGTTCTTGCAGCTAGCCAAGGAGGGTCCCTTGCTGGATCAGGAACTTTCATTTTGGTAGCAAAGAGGTCTGCTTTCTCTTGACTACTAGTAGAGGTGGTCCCATCCTATCGATTTAGAGGTGGAATGAGTTCATCAGGCAGATAACCTTGTCTGTCCTTGACCAGGGACCACCAGGTTTTGGAGCCTACCCTACCTGATGCTAGCTTTCTTTTTGTGTCCACCTCCCATTTAGCAATGGCCCACTTTTGAACGTCACCCATATGCCTACAGGCTTGCCTGTGCAAGTTCCTGTTATAGGTGGTAGGATGTCTCTTATACCTTCGCCATGCTTTGTACTTAGCAGTAGCAGCCTCTCTACAACGAAAGCCAGACCAAGGCTGATTGTAGGCTTCGTCACAATATTGCCGGTGAGGAATGTTTTTCTTGTTGTAGATTAAGGATGGTCCAGTGAAGGCTTTCACTTGGTTGTCAACATCCCCTTGGAGAAGAGCATTCCAATCGGTGGTGGCGAGCTCAGAGCGAAGGGCTGGCCAATTACCTCTTTCCCATAGCCAGGTTGTGCGTGTGGACTCCTCCCCTCGTTCTGTTGGGATCTTAAGTGTCGTAAAAACAGCCTTGTGGTCAGACGATCCAACGAGCCGAGGGGTTACAAGTGACTATGCCTTCTGCCAGATCACTACTACTGGGGTCAAGGAGGAGCCAGAGATGTGAGTAGGGAAATCAACAAAGTTTCTCATGTCAAATGCTGCAAGAAGGTCATCAAAGTCCCTCTGTATAAGGTGTTGGCTGAGGTCACCAACAATTATATGTTGACAGTTGTGTTGTAGCAGAAGGGAGTCAATATTTTCCATTAGGAAGCTGATGGGGTCTGCATGTTGCCACTGAGGTCTGTAAAATTGCACATGCCCAGTACAGAGGTACTAGTGTTTATGCAGAGCTTGAAGAACAACATTTCAAGATATGTAGGGGTGGCAACATCAATGTGCTGTGCATGAACACTTTTAGAGAAGCACACAGCAACACATCCTCCTTGCCCTTGCCTGTCTCTTCTCATCCATGAGGTGTAGCCAGCAATTCTTGCAAAATTTTCTGGAGTCCTGTCATCCAAAAATGTTTCAACAACAGCTATCATGTCGGGACGTCGAGTGTTCACAAAACTGTGTGAGAGCTCTCCAGCATTAGTAATGAAACCTCTAATGTTGGCCGACAGGATGCTGATAGACTGGCTCCTCATGATGTGGTCAGGTTGAGATGGGTGTGTAGGGCATATAAGGTGCCTGCCCTTGAGAGAGGTAGGGTACTGAGGCAGCTGCAGGGATGTAGGTCTGTGGTCTTGTATAAGGCACAATACCACCTGCTGGGCTGAGATAGGAGTAGCTGAGTGGGTGACGTGACGTGTGAGAGTGTTCACCAATTCAGAGATCCTGCTGGTTTGTTCTGAGAACAGGTCTCTAAACAGGTGGTCCTGTCTGTCAAGTTCCTTTTTCTTCCGACACTGGTCCTCTTGATGTCCTTTCTTGTAGCAGTAATTGCACCTGGTATCTCGCAGGCAGTTGTTGGCGGTGTGCCCCTTCCGGTGACAGTGAGAGTACAGCCTAGGTGCCTGGGAGTGTGGACTATGATTTCTTGCACCTCCTGTGTTTTGCAGATTTGTCCTCGGGTTCTGCCGCTGGGACTGTTAGTGGGGGTGAGACGGCTGTAGATGTCTTCCTCCTCCACGTCCTCTTCCCAGTCCTCTACCAGTTCTGACAGATGTGTCCCTGCTGTTCGTACTTTGGCGCAGTAGGTGATCAGGTGCAGTGATAGTTCCCTGATTATTAACTGCACCAATCTCTGGTGGAGAAACTCCTAACTCAGAACTTGCCGATGAAGAACTGCTGCCAGATTCTGGAATAGTGTCGGCAGGTGTGCTGACAGGTGTAGGATCAGAGATGGTATGTGCACTGTCTAGTGGACTGGCAGTGGCTGAAGCAGAGATGTCAGGTGTAGGAGAATTAACAGATCCAAGGCTTCCTTCGTTGCTGGGAAGAGGATTTGTTCCCTCTGTGGTGGTCAGAGGAATTGTTAGAATTCCCAAAGATAGTGTTTTGAGCCCTGTAAATCTGTGGGGCCTTAGCGATGACAGAATTCCACCAGATATTTACCCCTGAGTTAAGCTCAGTGTGGGACTTCCAGTCTTTGTCAATAGTGTCACCATCAGCTGAGCAGCTTACGTCACTTGATGTAGGCTTGCACTGACCTACAATAGCTTGGAGGTTATCTAATGATTTGAGGAGCTCATGAAGTGCTTCCCTGTGATGGATTATCTTAGCTGCAACTTTATAACACAGCCCAAGAGGGCAGTCTTGATCTTTGGAATTACAGTGTACCTCACGTAATGGAAGTTGTGTACACAACAAATACATTATGTGCTCCCTTCCCCCATCCTGTGTGTTTGAGCACAGTGTTTTGGTGTTCTTGACTGTGTTGCAGTGTTACGTTCATGGGTAAGCGTTAAGTCAGTAGGTGAGTCACATAGCGTCTGGGTTGATGGGAGGTTAATCAGGGGTGATGTGAGGAAAGGGAGTCGTAGTTTATTGGATTAAGTGCCTCTTCCCCCAGCATCAAGGAACTCCCTCCCTCGAAGGGATGGCTTTTTAACAGTGATGTAACTAATGAGGTCTCGGAGGTAGGAAAAGAAGGCTTTTTTTTTTTGTCTTGTTTGTAGCGAAGACCCGTAAGAAGTTCATGACAAAGACAAGTCGTCCCAGGAAAACCTCTTCCTCGTACTTGTCGCCAGGACGACATTTGACAAATTTTCATGATTTTCATTGTAATGAATCCACGATCTTTTATTTTCCTGATAAACAAACTCCATATTCAGAGTTCTCATTTTATAATAAAGGTTCTAAATTCTCTCACGGAACGAGTGTAATTCGACCTATGGGCAGCAACAAGAGTTGTTTACAATCGTCTTGGGACGATATCGTGACAGTTATTGTCAGTCTCCGTTGCATTGTCAAGAATCTCTCATAAATGTATTTAGGCATTTCAGATTTCTCTTTGACGCTTTGAAATTTTACTCATTCGCATCATAAAGTTTTGAGAACCAGATTTTATCCATTAAGACCTCAAGAGATTGTGGCGAAGAAGTAGTAGTAGGTGGCGACTTCGCTGGCCACAGCAGGTGGCCAGCGTTAGCACGACAATAACAATTGTCCACTGTGTTCTTTATGATAGTTTCAAGGTGCTAATAACCTCGTCGTTGAAGCACCTTGGGCAACAAAGAACAAAGTCTTTATTGCCTTGTCGGAGTTCAGAGGTTCGGACCTCCAGAGTTTCGTAAACGCTTAGGAGGTCCTGGTTCTGGCGGCAACAAGATTATCACGGACGGTAGCCACACGGTGTCCAGGAGGATTGATTCGAGGCGCTAGTAACCTCGTCGTTGAAACACCTTAAGCAAGACCAAAGAAGAAAAAGAAAGGGCGGTGGCTACCGCTTGTAGACAAAGGAGGTGCTCGTTCTGGCCGGCTTCTTGCGCTGCTGTTCCTTCTCCTCGAGAGATTTCAAGTGGTCTTGATAAACCCGGTACTCCGTCGGCGACATCAGACCCCTGAGGAAGAAAGCAAAACAGTCCATGGAGAAACTCGTTCACAACATTGGAAACGGAAAGTAAATTGAATTCTACAAGATAAAAGACATTGGGATCTCGAAAACACTATAGCAGAGAAATGTGGTATACTGAGAGGGAATGATGCTGGTGGTGTTGGTAATGGTGACTAATAGATATTGTGGGATGTATTGGGGTAGATGATGAGGGAAGGGGGTGGGAGAGATCAAAATGATAGGGAGGAAGCAAGTAGAAACTTGAGAAGAGGGAACGTAGCCGTTATCAAAGAAAGATGGAGGCACAGAATATATCCTTCATTTAAACTGTCCAAGCATATTTAAGCTAGAATATATGAGAATATATTTGAGAAGATACTGACTTCTGAAGTGTGTCGAGGGACACCCAGACTCCAGCAGCCCCCAAGCGACGTCGTAACTGCTGAGATTCCTTCACCTTGTTGGTGCACACCTGCAGGAGACGAGTACGTACTCTTGTTTGTTATATCAAAGTAGAGGTGAATGAGCATCGAAAAACATATCGTGGGTTGTAAGAGCATTGAAGAACATAATGGAATAGATACCAGTATAAAAGAAAAACTGCTAAAGAGAGATAGGAATAGAACTTGCAAGGTTATAAGTATAAATAAATTAAAAAAAAATGAAGGACGAACACCGCTAAGAAGTAAAATGAGGATAGAAGGAAGGAAGAAAGGGATTTTTTTTTTTTTAGAGTAAAGGGATCGTGCCAACCTCTCTAACGTTTGCCAAAGAGACGAAAACAGGAGAAAACTAAAAGTATGTAGTATTGAGATTAATACATTTGTAAATTTTTCGTAATTTAAAAAGAGAGATTTATGACTAAGGAACATTATAAATGAAAGTAAACCTGATGTACAGTTATATTACCCCACTCTAGAAATACGAGTCTTAAAGGAGGTATTCGAGGGGTGGAAGATAGTGAGGAAAGTAGGGAAGTATTAAGATTGGTAAAAGAATCATACTAGATGTGGAGACTTAAATCTCTCCCCCCCCTCCCCCCCTCCCTCCCTCCCCCCCCTCCAGAAAAAAAAGTTTGAAATTATAATGATAAAAATCCAAACTACTTACGATAGTCACAGCAGATTAATATTACCAGAGAGGGAGAGAGAGAGGGAGAGAGGGAGGGAGGGAGAGAGAGGGGGAGAGAGAGAGGGGGAGAGAGAGAGGGGGAGAGAGAGGAGGGGGAGAGAGAGGAGGGATGTGGGTGGCCTTACTGTTATGTACAAGGCCAATATTGTCAAAATACCACACTTGGATCCACTTCGAGGACAGCATGAAACAAGCTTTTATGCCACAAGACGGGCAGAAAGCAGCAACTTCACTCTGGCTGTACCCTTCTCCAGAACATCACTCCATCTGAGATCATACATACCCAGGATGACTCGAGTATGGAACACATTCGTACAGGATAATGATATCAACGAGATAAAGTCAGTTGATCAAATGAAAATGCTGGCCCACAGATGGCTCCAACTTCATCCTGTTTCCTACTTGTATGTCTCATAATAAAAATGCTTTCAGATGAGCTGATGTAGGTAACAGCTCTTAGCTTGCCAATAAAGTTAGGAATCATTAACCTGTAAATAGCTGTCAATAAAGCTAGGGATCCTTAACCTTGTCAAACCCTGTGTAAAAAAAAAAAGAGGGAGGGAGGGAGAGGGAGGGAGAGAGAGAGAGGGAGAGAGAGAGAGAGAGGGAGGGAGAGGGAGAGAGAGAGAGGGAGAGAGAGAGAGGGAGAGAGAGAGAGGGAGAGAGAGAGAGAGGGAGAGAGAGGACAGGGAGAGAGAGAGAGAGGGAGGAGAGAGAGAGGGAGGGAGAGAGAGGGAGGGAGAGGGAGAGAGAGAGAGGGAGAGAGAGGGAGAGAGGGAGGGAGAGGGAGAGGGAGAGAGAGAGAGAGGGAGAGAGAGGGAGAGAGGGAGGAGAGGGAGAGAGAGGGAGGGAGAGGGAGGGAGAGGGAGGGAGAGAGAGAGAGAGAGAGGGAGAGAGAGAGAGGGACAGCGAGGAACAAGCTTTTATGCCACAAGACAGGCAGAAAGCAGCAACTTCACTCTGGCTGTACCCTTCTCCAGAACATCACTCCATCTGAGATCATACATACCCAGGATGACTCGAGTATGGAACACATTCGTACAGGATAATGATGTCAACGAGATAAAGTCAGGTTATCAAATGAAAATGCTGGCTCACAGATGGCTCCAACTTCATCCTGTTCCCTATTTGTATGTCTCATAACAATAAAAATGCTTTCAAATGAGCTGATGTAGGTAACAGCTCTTAGCTTGCCAATAAAGTTAGGAATCCTTAACCTGTAAATAGCTGTCAATAAAGCTAGGGATCCTTAACCTTGTCAAACCCTGTGTAAAAAAAGGGGGGGAGAGGGTTTCGTAAGACAAATGAGGGATTATATAATATACTCACTTATTAATAAACAGTGACCGTGAAAAGGAAAAGGAGATTTTTAATAATAGACATTAATTGTTCATCTTACGAGGCAAAACAGCGCTGTATAGCCCTTGTGGCTTAGCGCTTCTTTTTAATTATAATAATTACGAGGCAAGAACTTACGAGGCAAGATCTCCAAATGAATAGTCAATTGAATTTCTAAATGTCATTACGTGTGTTGATCCATCAGCTTGTGATTAATGATAGGAATATGAGAAAGTAAGACAATTACAACACTTAATAAATACTACAACAAACAAAGAAATGTTTAACAAAGTATTTCACCTGGAAGACGACGTCATTCTCTCATATGAATTATATTACATATATTTTATATTGTTATATTTGAAATGAAAATTGAAACACAAAAACGTACAGATACGCAGACACGCACCTCCAGGACTTGTCTGAGCTTATCTCTCTCTTTAGCTCTGTGTACTGCGGAGGCTGGTGCGTTAGCGTGGGTTTGAGGGTGTGGGCGTGTGGGCGTGGGGAAGAGCAGACTCTGTGTACCTCTGTGTTGCATTGTCCTGAAGACAGTGGGGGTTCCTGCAGACCCACAACCTGTGAAGAGAGGGACCACGTGTAGCAGGAGGGGGAATGTATACAGCAGGAGGGAAGGGGCCAACGTGTACAAAATTAGGGGGAAATGTGTATGGAAGGATGCTAAACTGTATAGTAACATGATAAAATATAGCAAGTAAAGTACTGTATAGCAAGAAGGAAAACTGCGTAAAATTGTTATATAATAAATAAAACTGTACAGATTATTAATATCTTTCACGTTTTCCACTTTGTCTTATCTCTTTCCATTGATAATGTTCCTCGTCCTCCTCTTCCACTTTTCTATACTTTATATAATTATCTTCGTCCTTCTTTTTCTCGTATTTATAGTTTCTTATGTAACGGTTCCTCCCAGCCACTCTTATCTTCCTCTCTCCCCCCCAGCAGTACCACCCATTCTTCCTCCCTAGTTCCCCAGACCGGCATGGCCTCCTCCCTGGAGTGTGGGTGTGTCATGGCCTCCTCCCTGGAGTGTGGGTGTGTCATGGCCTCCTCCCTGGAGTGTGGGTGTGTCATGGCCTCCTCCCTGGAGTGTGGGTGTGTCATGGCCTCCTCCCTGGAGTGTGGGTGTGTCATGGCCTCCTCCCTGGAGTGTGGGTGTGTCATGGCCTCCTCCCTGGAGTGTGGGTGTGTCATGGCCTCCTCCCTGGAGTGTGGGTGTGTCATGGCCTCCTCCCTGGAGTGTGGGTGTGTCATGGCCTCCTCCCTGGAGTGTGGGTGTGTCATGGCCTCCTCCCTGGAGTGTGGGTGTGTCATGGCCTCCTCCCTGGAGTGTGGGTGTGTCATGGCCTCCTCCCTGGAGTGTGGGTGTGTCATGGCCTCCTCCCTGGAGTGTGGGTGTGTCATGGCCTCCTCCCTGGAGTGTGGGTGTGTCATGGCCTCCTCCCTGGAGTGTGGGTGTGTCATGGCCTCCTCCCTGGAGTGTGGGTGTGTCATGGCCTCCTCCCTGGAGTGTGGGTGTGTCATGGCCTCCTCCCTGGAGTGTGGGTGTGTCATGGCCTCCTCCCTGGAGTGTGGGTGTGTCATGGCCTCCTCCCTGGAGTGTGGATGTGTCATGGCCTCCTCCCTGGAGTGTGGGTGTGTCATGGCCTCCTCCCTGGAGTGTGGATGTGTCATGGCCTCCTCCCTGGAGTGTGGGTGTGTCATGGCCTCCTCCCTGGAGTGTGGGTGTGTCATGGCCTCCTCCCTGGAGTGTGGGTGTGTCATGGCCTCCTCCCTGGAGTGTGGGTGTGTCATGGCCTCCTCCCTGGAGTGTGGGTGTGTCATGGCCTCCTCCCTGGAGTGTGGGTGTGTCATGGCCTCCTCCCTGGAGTGTGGGTGTGTCATGGCCTCCTCCCTGGAGTGTGGGTGTGTCATGGCCTCCTCCCTGGAGTGTGGGTGTGTCATGGCCTCCTCCCTGGAGTGTGGGTGTGTCATGGCCTCCTCCCTGGAGTGTGGGTGTGTCATGGCCTCCTCCCTGGAGTGTGGGTGTGTCATGGCCTCCTCCCTGGAGGTGGGGTGTGTCATGGCCTCCTCCCTGGAGTGTGGGTGTGTCATGGCCTCCTCCCTAGAGTGTGGGTGTGTCATGGCCTCCTCCCTGGAGTGTGGGTGTGTCATGGCCTCCTCCCTGGAGTGTGGGTGTGTCATGGCCTCCTCCCTGGAGTGTGGGTGTGTCATGGCCTCCTCCCTGGAGTGTGGGTGTGTCATGGCCTCCTCCCTGGAGTGTGGGTGTGTCATGGCCTCCTCCCTGGAGTGTGGGTGTGTCATGGCCTCCTCCCTGGAGTGTGGGTGTGTCATGGCCTCCTCCCTGGAGTGTGGGTGTGTCATGGCCTCCTCCCTGGAGTGTGGGTGTGTCATGGCCTCCTCCCTGGAGTGTGGGTGTGTCATGGCCTCCTCCCTGGAGTGTGGGTGTGTCATGGCCTCCTCCCTGGAGTGTGGGTGTGTCATGGCCTCCTCCCTGGAGTGTGGGTGTGTCATGGCCTCCTCCCTGGAGTGTGGGTGTGTCATGGCCTCCTCCCTGGAGTGTGGGTGTGTCATGGCCTCCTCCCTGGAGTGTGGGTGTGTCATGGCCTCCTCCCTGGAGTGTGGGTGTGTCATGGCCTCCTCCCTGGAGTGTGGGTGTGTCATGTCCTCCTCCCTGAAGTGTGGGTGTGTCATGGCCTCCTCCCTGGAGTGTGGGTGTGTCATGGCCTCCTCCCTGGAGTGTGGGTGTGTCATGGCCTCCTCCCTGGAGTGTGGGTGTGTCATGTCCTCCTCCCTGAAGTGTGGGTGTGTCATGTCCTCCTCCCTGAAGTGTGGGTGTGTCATGTCCTCCTCCCTGAAGTGTGGGTGTGTCATGTTCTCCTCCCTGAAGTGTGGGTGTGTCATGTTCTCCTCCCTGAAGTGTGGGTGTGTCATGGCCTTCTCTTTGAAGCGTGGAGGTGTCATACCATCCTTCTTGAGATATGGAAGTGTGTCGTACCGTCCTCCCTGAGGTGTGGAGGAGTCCTGCCTCGCTTCTCACTACCTTGTCCTCTCCTGTTCTCCAAATGGCTGACATCATCCTCCTCGTCCTCTGTTGAAAGAGTCGCCCTCTCTGTGCTGATCCTCACCTCCAAGTGCATCCTGTCGTCAAAACAATTACTTAGCATGTAAGATTATTATTGTGAACGAAAGGAATATGTGAAAGATCTGGTAATCATAGTATCAGATAATTTATCGTTTAAAACATTCCGGTCAACGACCACCAAACTTCATTAACCTAACATTTACACAAATACAACTAAACTCGTCAGGTGGCAGGGAGAAACTGTATATGTTGCACTGACAGAACTTTCCACCGAAGACAAGATATGATAATCTCTTCAAGCCACTTCCTTTCTTATGTCTGAAAAGAAAAGAAAATTAAAGGAAAAAAAGTGCTTGTTACTCTAGCTTGTTCCATCTCTATAATGCTACTGTCATACTGTTCCATCTCTAATGTGATATTGTAAATCTGTTTATCCTCCTTGATGACGTTGACAGATAGAGGGGGGAGGGGGTGACCCGAGGGGGGGGGGGGGGACCCGAGGGGTGGGAGGTCTGCTCCACTTGGTTGGTTTGGTTTAATTAAAAGTTATCGACTGCACGACGGTCATTAAGGCTGCATGTCACCCGTCAGGAACACGTTAGTCCCTAAAATAAGGCATAAAAGAGACATATATATATATTATACACCTTTTTAGGCTGTATACATTGAGATATACACCTCTTGTTGTATGCTGGTATACACTGACGCCACGTGGTGTGTGCATGACATGAACGAATCCTGTATCTCTCTCCCTTCCCCTCATTTCTTGCCCACTTACCCCCCACCCCCTCCCCGAGCCTCTCCCATCGACAGAGACAGGTGTGCCAGCTGATCACATGATACTATGAGATATTGCCGGGATTAACCAGCCTGGGGTCACCAACCGTGCCACCCACAGGTGGTACTCAATATCCACTTATTTAGGAGCACAGACAAAGCTGTCAGATCTGTTGGAACGAGACTTGTGAAGCAGCATTTTACTTGCTGTGTTCTCACCGCCCTCATGAAGTCTCCCAGCTGAGGATGACATTCCATTACCTCGTGTACGAAATTCATCCTGTGTGATGGAATATGACAGGGAAACACCATCCTATGTGATGGTATATGACAGGGTAACACCATCCTATGTGATGGTTTATGACAGGGAAACTAAACTAGCTTTTGCTCCCACTGTGTATCATATGCCCTTTGACCTACGCATGTCAGGAGAATTGATAGGGAACAGTGTAGTAAAGAAAGCGAATGCCAGACTGAAGTTCCTGTATAGACAAGCACAGTGTCTACCTACTGAGGCTCGCAGGACCCTATGTCTAGCCCTTATACAATGCCATATGGATTACGCTTGCTCTTCATGGTACTCTGCCTTGACAAAAAAAACTGAAAGATAGACTGCAAATCACCCAGAACAAAATCATAAGATTCATCCTGGGGCTGGGACCAAGAGAACATGTAGGCCAGGATGAATTACAGCAGTTGGATATGTTGAATGTTGAAGACAGAGTAAAACAACTGAAGCTAAATCATGTTTATAAAATTGCTCACAAACAGTGTCCAGAATATCTTGCTGTCAATTTTGTCAAGGTTGGGAACCAAAGCAATCATAGTACCAGGGGGATAGAGCACAACTTTGTAGTACCCACAGTCAGAGGCCAGGCTTCAAACACCTTTTATTGTACAGCAATAAAGGAATGAAATAGACTACCCGCACATGTCAAAGCCAGTCATAGCATGAACCAGTTCAAGAAGAGTGCCAAAAGGTGTCTGATGAATGTAGCTACAGAAAGGGAGGGGAATGATTTTCTATTTTTTAGCTAACATACGTGTAAATTTTACCTTATTCCTAGTAATGACCCTCGTATTGTAGATAGTCTTTTTAGTATGATAATATGTTATCTTCATTGTAGAATAAGAAAATATTATAACCTTTATATTATAATAATAAGGTAAAAGGACCCCATTGGAAATAAGTCACTCTGTCTGTCTTTTTTGGGTTATCCCAGGTTCTCTACACATATGCTGCTATGTATGATAATTCTATGTAACTGTATTTGTGTATACCTGAATAAACTTACTTACTTAGCACACTGCGGGTGTCCCCACAGTGTAGAGCTGACGTAGAATAAGGTAGCTACACACTACGGGTGTTGCCACGTTACAGATTACTTGTAAACTGATTCTTGAGGATACGTATTTTGTAGTAAGAGTTTGTGTTGCGTGCTGGCTGACTCAACACTTCCTGATCCCTCCAGTAGCGACCACATTTCAGCAACCACACGCTAGTACCCCCAACACCAGCGACCACACGCTAGCACCCCCAACACCAGCGACCACACGCTAATACCCCCAACACCAGCGACCACACGTTAGTGCTAGTACCGTACTTTCCGGCATATAAGACGCAAAACAGACATATAACGGGTTAATTACCCTCTTACTTTAAGCTAAAGTGTAACCCACAGCGTACCTTTGACCCTGACCTTCAGCATATAAGGCGCAGGCTGATTTCGTATTAAGACTTTTTGTGTGGGGGGGGGTGAGTTGCCGTATTTTCCGGCTTTGTGTGCCGGATAATACGGTAACTACACGCCAGCAGCCCCCCACACACAAGTAATCACATAGTAAGCTTCCAGACTCGGTAAGCTTTACGACGATAAAACCAGTAATTAAACTTACTTGGTCCCTCTCCAGGTCTGGTTGACGGGAGCATACATGTTGGATTCGTTGATAATAGTACGCAAAAATCCACCGCGAGCTGGCGCGAATACGCCGTCATCGTTATTTTGGCTCTGGTTAGAGTTTCCTTCAACGTTAGTGAGGCGCTCGTTGTTCTCATGGCTATGAGCAACTTTGTTCTTGCTGTGGAGAGTGCTCAACCCCGCCAGCGACCTCTGGCGGTGCTGACGACCGTAGTGTTGTTCCACGTCACTCGCCACCGGACTAATTTCTGACATTATCGTTGGTATTTCTTTCTTTTTCATTTTCTTGGTTACCTTCGTTGACACTTTGTTCTCAGGCTTGGCACTGGATTTCTTTTTCTGGAGGTTGTGCCCGTTGGCACTCTTGGATGACATGGTTGGCACCTCGCACTCTCTGCTTTTCTGCTGCTTTGTCTTGGTTTCTTTTCCCTCAGCGAGGTCTTGTGTTCTGGTCAGACGCTGAGAAACTTCGCTGTCCCTCTCAGACACTTGAGCGCTCTCATCGAAGTCCTCTTGAGCACCGACGACGATGCTTAACTGAATCTTCTTGTTGGTGCCGTTCTTGATCTTCCTGTTAGCTGAGCTGATGCGTTGCTTCAGGTCACTCCGAGTCTTCTTTATTATATCTCTCTCTGACTCGCTCAGCACCAGCAAGCTATTCTCCAGTCCCAACTCTGGCTCTTCTTGCGATGACCTTGAGGACCGTCGTGATAGTGAGGCTCTGTGGGGTTTAGTAAACATTTTGCTGAAAGGAATGAAACCAAAGCCGTGTCTTGACTTGTATCCACGGAGTCTGGTGTCTATCTGAGTATCAGAAGCGTTGTCCTCTTCATCTGCCTCGTCACCTTCCTCGTCTAGAACAGGCTTCCGACTCTTCACTATCTGGGAGACTAATGGAGCTTTCTGAATGACGAGGCCGTTGTAAGGCTCAAGCTCATGTTTACTGTCAATCCCGATAGGCTCCTTGGACACTCCTGTGAAGTAAAGATCTGGTGAAGAAGCTGATCTAATCACCTTTGTCGAGTTCTTGAGGTGTTCACCGTCTGTGCCTGACACCTGAGGCTTAACCTCGGCCTCACTAAATGTAGCAGACACTGTGTCTCGTTTTGACTTCTCGCTTCCTGGTGGAAGAGTTTTTGTATCTTGCTGATTAAGAGCTTCTTTATCGCATGACAGTGTGGAGACAGGAGTCACACAACTCTTAGGTCTGGTGTGGGTTTTATGCCTCACAGTTCTTAATGAAGTTTCTGTAACATTTGCCTCAAGTTGTGATGTAGGAGGCCCTGACCAGGCCAGGCGCCGGGCCTTCAGCTCCATGGGGTAAGAGGCGGCCCTCACCTCCAAGGAAATAAGGCCAGCTGGCTGGCGGTGGGGGAAGGTATTTAGACGTCCTTTCCTGCTGGCCTCAGCCGCGCTGTCACTGCCATGGCTAGCCGCCCACCTCTCCTCTGAGGCTGCCCGCACCACCTGTCGCTCCAGGCTTCCGTACGCTGGTAGGGAAGGCGGTATCTCCAACGTGTGTCGACGGAGCAGAGGACGCCGCTTCCTCCTGCCGGTGCTGCTACACGTAACCGGTGGCTCCGTCATCCTGCTGAGGAGACACAACATACTTCAATGTTTACCCTGGCTAGGCTGCCCTCTTACAACCTGCTAGTGAAAATAGACTTGCTTACTATCACAAACTTTGTCTATTTTTTTTCATATCCTTGTCTGTTCTCACTATTGCATCTAATACCCCCTATCACTACCATGTCTACTGTCACTATCGCTTTCTCTAAAAGTGTGTTGTAACTATCGCAGGTAAAGGACTGTCATATCAGGCTCGTCTTCTCGGTCTGGGACTTAATAGACTAGAACAGGCAGAAAACTCCTCAAAAATTTTATATCCAATTTGTGTGTTGGTTGCAAACATAAGTTGCCTGTGTTGCAAACATTGATTCATGTGTTGTGAGTGGTATATTTCGTTATTTATATATGTATATATCAATGAAATCACGAAACAAGTGATTCTGAATCATTAACAGAACTGCGGGATAACACGCTCAGTACTGCTGAGCTCCCGGTGTTTAAGGATGGTGGTCGAGTGGAGAGAGTGATGCGTACTTTGGTCATTCCACACAAGGCTGGGAAGGGAACGCAGAATCGAGTCCTGGCCAAGCCTCAGTTCTGTTAATAAATAAATTATTAAAATTATTATTATTATTTATTATTATCACACTGGCCGATTCCCACCAAGGCAGGGTGGCCCGAAAAAGAAAAACTTTCACCATCATTCACTCCATCACTGTCTTGCCAGAAGGGTGTTTTACACTACAATTTTTAAACTGCAACATTAACACCCCTCCTTCAGAGTGCAGGCACTGTACTTCCACTGTACTTAATAACACTGCGACTATCCAAGGACTCAAACCCATGATGTTTTGGGCTGCCTCATAGTGAGCGAAAATCACATGATGCTCTAACACACAATACCACTTGTTCGTAGTTACAATAATATATAATATTAAGTTTGTTATAAGCTTCATTATGGCGTATACTCAGCGGGAACACTTAAACCAACAGTTTCGAATGTAAATATTAATATTTGTGTATCTTCTACGTTGATGCGTCTTCTACAGCCATTAATTCTTGATCTTGTAAAATACTTCTACAAGTTTATTGAAAGCATAAGTTATAGAAGGCGAGATGGAGAGTAGAAAGAGAGAGACTGGAAGAGAGAGAGAGAGAGAGAGAGAGAGAGAGAGAGAGAGGCACTTAAGAAGAGAGACAGGAAGAGAGACAGGCAGACAGACAGGCAGACAGACATGCAGAGGGAGCTAGGCAGAAAAGGGGAGAGAAATTAAAACTCTTTTTGTGTATAGGTTACAGCAGGTGGCGAGGATGGCGAGGGACCTCCTCGCCCAGGAGACAGGAGAGAACCTCTCTGTAGAGGGGAGGGGGAAAGAGAGAGGAACTACCTTACCAGGAGATAATGGAGGTAGGAACACCTCACCAGGAGGGAGAGACGGGGTGAACATAGCTCCCTCACTCCCTGTAGGTCTATGGATAAAATCGATGGAACCATACACACGTGTGCGTGACTTCATATGCGTTTCTTCGTACTAATTAACTGTGTGCGTGTGAGTACGTAATGTACTCACGGCTGAATTTCATGATCCAACATTCTAATGTCTTGTGCTTCAGTGCCTGATTTAGAATGAACAGACGTTTTACTTAGTCTAAATGTGAACGCTTTTTTAAATAACTGATTTTGAACGACAATATCAACGTTGTGCTTTGTCTTAAGTGTAGAAACCTGTTATAATGACCGGAATCTTTGAAGGACTAAGGTGGGATGGATAATATTTTGAATAACTGAGATTCTGAGAAAATACAATTGAAGACTCACCCGTTTAATCTTTCTGAAGATGTATCCTCAGCAGGGTTAGTGCCTTTAATCATGGTTTACTGGTTGTCGTTGTGGTTGCCGTCGCTATGGTTGCCGTGGGCGTGGATTATCTTTCTCTGGTAAGAGAACAAGTGACAGTCAAGGTAAACATTCAACAAGAGTTTAAAACCACAAGTCTGTATAATACAGGAGAGTTGAGCTGGCATGATCACAGGTGTGTTTACGTTGTCCACTGAGCGCTCGTGATAATAATTAAGTCATCGCCGCAATCCTCGCAGGTAAGATCGTTAGGAGCTGTGACAACACAGACAGCGGTGCAGCACGTGGTGCTGGTGATCGTGGTAGTGATGGTGGTAGGACTGGTAATAACACTGGTAGTGTTGGTGATACTGTGTATACACACACACACACACACACACACACACACACACACACACACACACACACACACACACACACACACACACACACATACACACAACTGCGTTCTCTTTTTTTTCTAACTTTTTTTTCACTCGGGTCTCGACGTCCACTCAACTTAAAAAGTCTATAGTTCCACCAATTACCTAAAACTTCCACTATAATATATAACTGCAGCACTTGAACTCTTCTCTCTAGAGCCTCAAGAGAGGTCAGTCACAACTAAACCTCTGGTGATGATAAATACAATACACCACAACTCGTTCTCTTCAAGTCCCACAACCCACGGTTTTTCACTCGATATTAATTTCCTTTTCATATTTTAGTCTCTAGTATCCCAGCTGAAGCCAAGTATGTTTCCTGCGGGAGCTGACGACTCGCTATTCACGTTACAAACTCCAGTTCTTCCTCTCATTTTCTTGAGCGAATGTTAGCTTGGGTGTTCCTTCGTGGCTCTGAGCGTGGAGCGAACCACACTGGTGACAGCAGCAGGCGTGAAGAACGGTGGGAGTTTCTCAGTCAGCAGTTGGTAACGCACAACTGAGTGCTGTGCTCCAGTAGCGGGTAACGCACAGTGGGGCGCTGTGAGCCAGCAGGTCATGCATGTTGGGGGTCTAGGCTCCCACAAGGAACACCCCGTCGGTGGCGAGCCATGCACGGGATCGGCAACGCCGAGGCAAGGAACGCTGTCGGCGGCGAGGGGGTCTGCCGCGACGGGGGGAGGTCACTGCAGAGTGAGGTACGCTAGCCGTGGCGTGAGGGGTTGCTGCGGAATAAGGTACGCTAGAGAAGGCGTGAGGGGTCGGTAACACGGTGCGGGTGAGTCATGAAGTGAGTGAAGCGGGTGCGGGTGGATCAGACAGACACCCACGCTGCACCCCGTGTTTCTATCGACTGACCAAACCTTGCATAACACACACACACACACACACACACACACACACACACACACACACACGTACACATACATACACACACACGTACACACTGGTCTCGTAGCTTGTTGTGGTTTGTGTTTGGTCCAAGCCCGTCTGCTCCAGCTGGAGGAGTAAAGGACCTATGACAGGGTCAGCAGGTCCACGAAATTTGCCAGTTACTCTTTCCTGTGACTTATAGACGACTTAGTCTTGCTCTGAGATCATCTGTTTTGAAGCTCCAACACTGTGGTCCACCTGCAAATTTGCTTCCTTTTTAAGTGATGAGATTAGCATAGGAAAAGAGAAGACTCTTTCCCCTCCCTCCATAGCTCAGTTCTCACTACCGGCAGGGAAAACATGATGTAGCCTCATGCTATGATGAGAGGAAACCTGCCAGTAAACTTAATAAGAGAAAGGAATTATTACTACCGATGGTCTTCCGCCTCCTACTTTATATCACTACTACTACTATTAATATTACTACTATTACTTCTATTACTACTATTACTAGTATTACTATTATTATTATTACTATTATTATGATGATTGTCACCACAAACGCCTGGTAACTCCCTTGTATTCTCCACACTAACGAACTGTGACGAGGAAGAGACGTGATGGAAGAGAGAGCTGAAAGAGGGAACTGAGGGAGGGAAACGAAGGAATGAGCTGAGGGAGAGGGGGAACTGAGAAGGAGAATGACGGAGGGAACTGGGAAGGAGTGTCATGAACGACACCTTCCCTACCAACCGAGGGATGTAGAATCGCAGAAGCTGATCGATCAGTGTTATTTCAAGACGTTTCGCCCTAGAGGGCTTTGAGTCCATAGAGGTCGCTAGCACCTAGTTCCTCTGAAATTTCTAAATTATTAACAAGGGATTCATTGTTTGCCAGAACTAAGTCAAGCAGGTTATTTCCCCTTACAGGTTCTGTCACAAACTGCTTCAAAAAGCAATCCTGAACTACTACTAAGAAGTCGTATAATTCTAAATTTCCAGTCAAGAAATTCCAATCAATATGACTAAAGCTAAAGTCTCCTAGAATTACTACATTATCGTGCCTTGTGGCCTTAACAGTTTCCTCCCATAGTAGTCTCCCCTGGTCCCTATCTAAGTTTGGGGGACGGTATATCACACCTAAAATCAATTTTTCATGCCCCTCTGAAAATTCTATCCAAACAGACTCTTTGTGTTACTTCAGACTTAATACCCGTTTTTATGCAACAGTTCAAGCGATCTCGGACGTACAATGCCACCCCACCCCCCTTCCTGATACTTCTATGTACTTGGAACCATTTAAAACCCTGAATGTGACATTCCGCAGGCATGTCCCGACTTTGAATTAAACTACGTCTCAGTTATGGCAAATACATCAATGTTACCTGCACTAGCAACTAATCTCAACTCGTCCATCTCATTCCTAGCACTACGGCTATTAGCATAATATACATTGAAAGACTCTTCTTTCTCTTTACCCTTCCTGCTCATTTCTGTTTTTCTACTAAACCTATTACTGTCCTTATCACCTAGTGTCACTGGCTTTTCAATATCTACCTCGTTCTGCTTATTACTAGTTCCCCTAGAACTCAGTTCTTACCTTCCTCGGTGTCATTCGTCTTGACGTTTCCAGTAGTCGACTCACATTCGTCGGGTAGCACAGAGAACGCATTAGATGTTTCCACAATAGTTTCCACAGCAGTCTCTTTCTTCTTCATCGTTTCTACCTTTCCATTCGTCTTCTTGATCAACTTCGTTCCATGCTGTCCAGCCACTGTCCAGTTTCCCTTCTTGACCTGAGGACTCAGAACAAGGGGACTGCTGCGAATCCTCTTGTTTTCCTCGGTCAATCGCCGTATCTCCATCTTCGCTACCCTCAATTCTACCTTAAGCTGCTGGTAAAGTTGCTCGATGGAGGGCATCTTGGTTCAATCCAAGGAGAGTACACTAACGTCCTCACTGTGCTAAGTAGACGTCACCACTCGAGTCCATAGAGAGAAACATTGTATATATATATGAACAAGATCATCTCAGATAAAAGATGATATCGAATACCCCTGACAAGTATGTAAATAAGACTTTTCGGTCGTGGTCACAGGACCGATACGTTTCCTCAATAAATATCCCATCGGCTGACCATGACAATGGCAGGACTGACGGCAATTATCTTAAGACGCTGTTTGGAGAGTAAGTCTAAATTTCAAGGGAACGTTTCGCCCTCACAGTAGCATGATGACGTTCCTGTATGAATTGAAGATCACTGCAGTAGTTGAGATTGCCAAGGATCACTGAAAAGAGCCGACTACTGTGGTGGAACAACAAAGGGGGATGACTACTGTGGTGGAACAACAAAGGGAGGGGGTGACTACTGTGGTGGAACAACAAAGGGAGGGGGTGACTACTGTGGTGGAACAACAAAGGGAGGGGGTGACTACTGTGGTGGAACAACAAAGGGGGATGACTACTGTGGTGGAACAACAAAGGGAGGGGGTGACTACTGTGGTGGAACAACAGACGGGGGGGGGTTGCCTGCGAGTGTTGGTGAAAGTGATACGTAGGAACAAAGGGTGACCAGGGGTGAGGGAAGGGGATTACCAGGAGCCGTCCATGTAGGGTTAGTGAGGGGGAGAGGTGAGGGGAAGAGAGGGAGAAGCAGAAAGTAGAGAGGGAAAGGCTAGGGAAAAGAAATGAGAGGGGGAAAATAAGAGACAGGAAGAAAGGAGACACTTGTATTAAGTCGCTGTGTAAGGAATGAGACAAAATAGAATGAAAACGAGAAATTGGAATCAGGAATACCAAGAAACACTGCAAATAAACTCACCAACTACATTCAAATTGAAAATTCAAATTTAGCATTCACTTTTTTATGTCAAAACGCTTTAGTTATATGACAATGACCACTGTTCTGTCTGTATGGAGAGTGTTTTGAGACATAAAATACTGTGGCACTATATGTGGTACTCTGTGGCATTATATGTGATAATCTGTGGCACTATAGGTGGCATTCTGTAGCACTGTCTACTTTACTGTGGTATTGGCTGTATCACTATTTCATTGTATTTGGCGTTGAGAGAGAGAGAGAGGAGAGAGAGGAGAGAGAGAGAGAGACATGCTCTATGGTGCTGTCTAACTGTGGCACTTCCTGTGACACACTGTGAAGCTGTATGCCAGACTGTTCATGTGTGACACTGTGGAGCAGGGTCTGTGGGAGCACAGCTACAGATTCTGTGTTGCATCTCCATCTGCTTCCTGACACGCGGCCTCGTCTCTCGTGAACATAGTGTAGTACCGACTGTCATAGATGCGAAGGCACGTTTCACCCAGTGTTGGGCTCTACACAGCGAAACGCTATCCGAGTGTTGGCTTATTGATCTTGTATGTAGCGTCACCTTTCTCTCAGGCTGGGAAGTTTTGTCTCAAGGTATGATTGTGTGTAATTAGTGAAGACCAGTAGCAGGTATTGTGAGGTGACTGTGTCCACCTGTACGGGGGAAGGGGGAGAAGAAAGATAGGGAGATGAGGGAAGGGGGGGTTTAGAAGGCAAAGGGGAGAGAGGGGGAGGGGATAAGTGGATGTAGTGAGGGAGAGGGTTTGGAAGGATGATGATAGGGGGGGTAATAAGGTAGCAGGAGGCGCACCGTCGCGCCCCTGCTACCTCATCACCGTAGATGTAATCGATGGTAATGTACGTGTGTGTACTCGCCTAATTTTCCTAATTGTGGTTGTAGGGGTCGAGTCACAGCTCCTGGCCACGCCTCTTTTCTGGCCGCTACTAGGTCACTCTTCCCTCTCCATGAGCTTTATCATATCTCTTCTTAAAGCTATGTATGGATCTTGTCTCCATTACATCACTTCCCAGACTTTTCCACTTCCCGACAACTCTGTGTCTGAAGAAATATTTCCTAACATCCCTGTGATTCATTTGAGTTTTCAGCTTCCAACTGTGACCCCTTGTTGCTGTGTCCCATCTCTGGAACATCCTATCTGTGTTTGTGTGTGTGTGTGTGTGTGTGTGTGTGTGTGTGTGTGTGTGTGTGTGTGTGTGTGTGTTACCCCTCCATCCTGTTAGGATGAGAACTATCGGCCTGTCATCTTCCATCCATCCTCGTTCTATCCTAAATCTACTATTCCACATCCTTCTTCCTCTACCACTCAGGATTGCTGCAGGATGCTTCAACAGCAAAGATTGTCCCAGTTATCCCACCTGTTCAGCCTACCCAAGCTATCCTAAATGTCCACATTAGCTGATTATTTATTTTCGTCTGAATTATTATGGCCTCACTGAATTATCACGAATTACCACAACCATCTCAGTTATCCTCATAAACTCAGCTACCATAGTTTCCTCACTGTCCTTGTTACAGTTATCTTAGATAACCCAGTGATATTGGCTATTTCTCTCACAATTACCTTCTTTATCTTAATTATCTGGAAGGTGGGGTGTTAGCCACAGGGATCGTGTGTGTGAGATTATAAGTATATATGAGAGAAAGAGATGTCTTATATATGGATTTCTGTTTATTTTTCATTTCAAGCATTAAAGCCTATGGGCCATTTAACAAAAAAGGCCTCTGGTGGGGACTCTAAACTGCGTTCGCTGCTCGGAAGATAATCTCGTCACCTAACTGTGTATTAATAATTTATTATTAAAGTGTAAAGATCCGCTAATACACTTTTTTTGACCCGACTGAGAGAGAGAGAGAGAAAAAAAAAATTGATGGAACACAAAAGAATAAGTAAATATAAGAGATAGAAGACAAACAAAGTTTGAATAAAAGTCTTGTTGTCTGAGAAGAGCTGGAGGAATTTTGACGAAGATAAAGAAAGTGAACGAGTTAGAGGTGATAAATAAGGAGGGAAAAAGTAGAAGAAAGTTGGTGAAAGTTTTGTCTTTGAAGTGTTTATTGTAAGTGTGGATCATGTCATCCAGATGTCTGAGTGGTCCCTCATGTCTGTATGAGTGAGTGGTTTGTCATGTCTGTATGGCTGAGTGGTTCGTCATGTTTGTATGGCTGAGTGGTTCGTCACACACCCAC